GCACACAAACAGTCAGAGCATACGCGTCTTGGCACCCACGTCACTGTTGACAGTTACAAGTTTGAAAAAGTAGACGACTTCGTTTATTTGGGAACCAGCATTAACACCAATAATAATGTCAGCCTTGAAATCCAACGGAGAATCACTCTTGCCAACAAGTGCTACTTTGGGCTGAGTAGGCAATTGAGAAGTAAAGTCCTCTCTCGTCGTACAAAGATCACACTCTATAAGTCACTCATCATGCCTGTGCTGGTGTATGGCGCGGAAGCATGGACAATGAAAGCATCTGATGAGGCGGCTCTTGGAGTTTTCGAGAGAAAGATTCTGCGAAAGATTTACGGACCTTTACGCGTTGGTGATGGCGAATATCGCAGACGATTTAACGATGAGCTGTATGAGCTTTACAACGATATAGACATAGTGCAGCGAATTAAAATTCAGCGGCTCCGCTGGCTTGGCCATGTCGTTCGGATGGACAGAAACGCTCCTGCTCTGAAAATATTCAACGCGGGCCGCGATGCTGGTAACAGAGGAAGAGGAAGGCCTCCTCTGCGTTGGAAAGACCAGGTGGAGAAGGACTTGGCTTCACTTGGCATTTTCAATTGGCGTCAGTTAGCACAGAAGAGAAATTACTGGCGTGCTGTTTTGGACTCGGCCAAAATCGCTTAGGCGGTTACAGCGCCAAATAAGAAGAAGAAGATCCAGAAGACGCTTTTAATCTAACACTCACCGTTCGCGTGAAAAATGCAAGAAACGGGCCTTCGTGACCTTTGACCTTGAACATTTTTTTTAATCAGGATCGGTGGGCAACTTTGATATTTTAATTGTAATACCGAAAACCTGTACACATTTTGTAACGATGCATTTTTGCTGCCCCGTTGTTTCTACAGTGCTGGGGCATACTCGCCGTGACTAGAGTTTGTCTGCAATAAGTTTATAGTTTCGTGGCTTCTTACAAATCGTACTTTATTTCGTCATTTAGTGTTTTCTTAACTATTACAAAAGCGTATAACTTTTGTCACTGCTTTTATAAACAAGCAAAAAAGAATATTTGAAGCCCCTTATCGAGAAACTTGGGTCCGGTTTAGTTATTTTTACAATGATTTGCGGTTGTTGTGTACAAACGCATAACCCGAATCCAAATACTTTAACATACACGTGTATTTATTTAAGATAAATGTTTCAAATTTCCTACCACTAGCTTATTAATAAATTCGGCACTTTTGCTAATTTCGATGTGGGTTCTGCGCAAAAATACTGTGGATGGCGTAGCCGGAGTGATAAGCACAAGAAATGTTGTATAGCATCGACATGCGGAAGCCCCTCTTCTCCGGCAACACAGAAAGGCGAATTCTACTTAGTAAGGGTTATAATCCCCAAGCGCGGCCGAAGGCAGAATCAAGCGCAATAGGTGGTGGACCTAACAAAGTGCGTGTTTTCAATGGCTTGGAAGAAGCTGTTATTGCATTAACAGGATTGGGAACCAGTCCTTCCGGCATAGGAGGAGTTTTGGTTTGTGGTTCAACATTTCAACCAGAAGCTGACATAGATGTGCCCATGGTTACTATAACCGACAGCTCCGCATGTGTTTGTGAAATCATTCCCATAGCGTGCTCCTATTCCGTTGCAATAATTGCAAATGCAATAGAATCCATAGTTTCCTCCAAAATATGTAAAATTAAACAATTTTACTATAAATAAGCACTTCATGAGTGTTTTTTTTTTAAATTCGTTTCCACTTTGTTTTCCTTCATTCAGCTATCTTCGAAAAACAACTGATAGCTGGCAATACACTTGTTTCCGCAAGGGTTGCAGCATGTGGATTTTTCGTAGCTTAGCTACGAATTACGAAAATTCGGGTTCTAGAATAACTCTTTCCAGCCTGTACACGTATACATTTAAATTCGGTATATTCAATGACAGGGACACTAACTTCCTCGATCGATGAATGCACCGCAAAAAGAACACCACCGCCGATTCTGCCCTCGCGGTCACTCCTGTATATTTGATATTCATTTGGAAGAATTTCGGAATTAAAAATATGAGGTTTGGGTTTGTTTCGGTTTGTTTCAAGGAAATAATATTATAATTGCAGTCAAAACCTTTTAAATATATGTCAGCTAATTTGGTATTCAAACCTCCAACGTTTTGATAGTAAATTTAATTAGACTTGCGAGTTGGTTTTTGAATCATCATTTTCAAGAATTGACACATGTATTAACAGGGTTGCATCGGAATAAATTCTGTTTGAAAGTGTGTTCGATCGACTCATTTCTTGTGTTGCATATAAACACTTGCATTTCAAGCGAGCTACGCTGACACGAGATAATTCGATACCCCCGTTCTCTCAATTCGTCGGCCGTGATTTTTTTTTTTAAGTTTGCCAACATTTTAAAATCACATAAAATTGAGAGTAAAATAAATGAATTCTTCAAAGTAGTTGTTGTTTTTTGAGATTGAAAATGAGAATGTGTGTGTGAGTTTGTGTTTAAAATTTTAAAATTAAATTACTTGTAAACGTCAAGAATTTGAATAATTCCTCCCAGCGGTTCTACCCAAGGTGTATTAGGCATTCAGTAAGCGGTCTCTAGTCACTAATAGTGACTTTTGGGTGGTGAACTTGGATTTTGAGACTATTTGGCATTCAGTACGCTGTGTCACGTCTCTAGTCTAAAAAAAAAGTCACTAATTTGTCAGCTGGCTAAGAGCAGGTCTCAAAACTAAAAATATGGAGAAAAAGTGAGTTGCTTTCCATTTTATTAAAAAAACGCGAATACGAACCGAGGAAATTTGTTCAATAAGAATTTCGTTAGGAAATAAACCAAAATACTCTAATATACAAGTCCATTGAAAAAAAATATATATTTATTTTTTTACATTAAAATGTAATGATTATTAAAAAAAATTAAGCTAATAAAAAAAAGAAAAAAATACTAAATAAAAAAAAATAAAAAATCCTCTACGCCCGAGGAGTACTCGAACCCGTACCCTCTCGTCCGGCAGCCTAATGCTTTGACCACTCGGCCATTGCGACTCTTCGGGCGGCGAGGCAAAGGCATACATAAACACTGTCAGTTGACTGTCTGTGTTTGTTTTCACCACATATTTTTGGTGAACTTTTNGTCCGGCAGCCTAATGCTTTGACCACTCGGCCATTGCGACTCTTCGGGCGGCGAGGCAAAGGCATACATAAACACTGTCAGTTGACTGTCTGTGTTTGTTTTCACCACATATTTTTGGTGAACTTTTTGTGACTATCCTACTGAATAGTCTAATTGCTAATCTCAAATTTAGTGACTTGAGATGAGACTGAATTACCGAATCCCAGGGTTAATCGCTAGAAAATCATTACGAGGCGGTAGAAGACGGTGCAAACAAAACCGAGAAACATCAAAAACGCTACAAAAGTTTTTTTCTGAAAATCGATTACAAATAAAAATAAAATGGCTGATTAGGTGATCTTTAGTCGTTGGTTCATGTATGCATATCATTTATAATAAGAATAAATAAAGAAAATGTGAAAAAACTGTAGTTTTAATACATTTAAAGTTTTTGGGGCGTCAATTGAGAATTGTCAAGATCGGCGAAACCAAAATAGCGGTTTACGAAACGCCTCAACTTCGTTTGCTACGGCGTGCTTGACCCTATGAAAGGTCTTAACATAAAATCCCTTAATTCCATGTCCCCACCGGAGATTAACCACGTAGTTAAGGCTGTTGAGTTGTTTATCCCGATAACCCACTTGATTTAGCGTGGTCGAATTGTCCAAAAAAAAATTCAATATGGCGAAAACAAATCGTGGCCAAGTTTTCGCCTTCAAATTCTTTTCATTATTTCACCCTCTGAAAGGTCTAAACATAAAATCCCTTTAACACGGTGCGAGTGGGACAAATAGCGTAGTTGGCAAATTTTCCCACGCTTAAAGGAATTTTCCCACGACGTATACATTTGGTTCACACAATCGCTGTCAAAATCGCAGCTGGCTTCAGCGTCGGCAGAGTTCACACGAACGCTACTCGTTTAGACAACCGACAAAAACTCTTCAATGGGAATATCGTAACGCCATTGCAAAGAATTTATTGCAGCAACAACAACCAGTATTGCCAGGTGTTGAATTTGAAGAATCACTAAAACCCAAGAAAAATCGCCAAATTTCTATTGGTCTTTGTATTCATTGAATTTGTGTCCAGAGTTGCTGTTGAATTGAATATTTTTTCCTGACTGTTAAATGTTATATTTTTCTTCGTTTTGCTTAATTTTCTTTCCTATCAAACAAAAGCAAAAAGAAGAAATTTTTCAGATTTGGTTTCTTCAAACCAAAAACAAAAGCACCAAACAACTCAGCGCTAAACTCAAAAATGTTCTTGTTTTGTATAAAGAAAAGCACTAAATTAAGTGCGAAAAACACCAAGTTGGCAACAGTCTCAAAAACTGACGTCTCTCTTGATAGAGCGTGTGAATTTTGAGCACGCCCTCTCCTGCTATTTCCAGAGAGCTTCTAGGCAGGGATGGAAAGTTAGGCTTTCAAATAGAAGCTATTTTCGGAATAAATGATACCTTAAACGCCGTCTGTATAGTGCAGGTTAATAAACGATCACGATTGATAGAATACAAAGGTTGCGCCGATCTCGGACCGCTATTCCTCTCTTAACGAATTTGACAGAATCGTTGTTTGCATGACGTCACGCTGGTGCAACTTGTTTACGTTTTCCTTGCAACATTTTTGCTTCTTCTTCCGTTCTTGGCATTTCTCTCTCGCAATTGCACCAGTGTGACGTCACACAAAAGTTATTCTCAAAAATCCTCTCTGATCGGCGCAATCTTGTATTCTATCATTCTTGATAAACGATGCGTTGTATTTTGTATATATCTGTAAAATATGAGAGAATGGCTTGAAAATTTTAAAAAAGGACAGAAATGGTTTCAATTGCACCCACAGTTCCATCACCTCTACTAAGTTCTCTGCAAGCGCTTGCTTCGTTCGTTTGTACGCTCGAATGACTGTCCTCTTTGCTGTCATTCGTTTGGTTCGTTGCTTCATCGTTGTTTGTCCATCCATTGTGTGTTTCGCGTTGCGCTCTGCATTTTTCATTAATAATTTCGTTTAAGTTCAGTATTTACAATTTATTTGCTTATTCTATAATTTGAAGACGTTGGAAACATAATAATTTAATTACTAAGTGTTTTACAACGATTTGTGTAGTGATTAAAGTGAATTTTTCGAACAGAAATGCGGAAAAATATGTACATATAATCGGTAATTGGTAAATCTTTTCCCCCATTTTCACATTTTCTTCAGCTCCGTCTTCGTCGCCTTACTACGCCTTTCCGATGGAGTGTGCATACGAATATATGTACACATGTATGCATGTTTTTATATAGATATGTGAGCACAGTGTGTTTGTATGCCAGTTTTCGTTGACGTCGCGCCGCAGTTAAGACAAACGTAGACCAATATATGTACTTAGATATATACACGCGATATATCATTATTTCCTTCCATAAGGGATTTGATTATATTTGACTATTGGCCTATTCGCAAATATTGGTGCTTAGTTTGATCTTAGACAGCAGGTTGTGACCGCTACAAGGTTTTATTGACAGAAGAAATCCACAATTCTTTAATGATCCCACCGTCGTCTTTATTGTGAGCCATACTTGCAAGTTCGCTTCAAGTCTGGCACGCTTATTTCCTAATTATGTACATTCATATGGATCTATATAATATCTAAAGCACAAGTATATATTCATACCTATGTACATATATAGTACAAAATACAAGCATATGTACACATGAACGCATTATTAATAAAGAAACGCCAGTTATTTTAAAAGTAATTCACAGAAAATTGTATGTAGAATCTACTTAAGATTCGCTGCAATTAGACTGGAGATCGGTTAAAGGCAGCTGCAGACGTGGTAAAATCTGAAGTTTTTTGGTTGACTCCTTTGTGGCTGACCTTGCTCCTGGTAATCTTGTGCTAATTTTATTGCCCAATAAAAATTTGGGTTGGAGGTCAAGTGGAGATCCAAAACATATTCCAATTTCCAATGCTGATATTCATGTGTGCCTTAATTGGATCACCATAGCATTCTCAAACAAACACGAATTATTTTTGTATGCAACAGTGTTGCCACAAAAAAATTGGGAACAAATGCAGTTTGGCTCCAAATCTCAAATTAGAAAACAAAATATTGGGATCGATAGACATGATTGAGCTGAGTATAACGGCATACTTCTTTTTTTTTAGGGAAACAACAACAACAATTATCAAAGGTTAAAGTTCAAAATTAGCTATTTTGAAATCGAGATTTCTTCAAAAAAAATAAATGGATTTTGAAAATTTTGATTTCATTTAATAGGATAGGATAATAATTCGATTCCCTTTAATTTGGTTTACGTACTTTATATATATGTAGTACAGTTCTTACAAAAATTGAATTAATGTAAAATAATTATAAAAAAAAACACCTTTTGCAGAGAACACCTTTCTGCGTAGGCGGCCTTCGGCCGCACTTAGGGATTATAACCCTCACAAAGTCGAATTCTCTTCCTGTGTTGCGAAGAAAAGGCACTGAACACCTTTTGCAGAGAACACCTTTCAGCGTAGGCGGCGTCGGCCGCACTTAGGGCTTGTAAGCTTTTTTTTATAATTATCTTACATTAATTCAATTTTCGTAAGAACTATACAACATATATATAAAGTACGTATACCAAATTAAAGGGAATCAAATTTTCTTTTAAATGAGATCAAAATTTTCATTCAATGATATCAAAATTTCATTCATTCGTTTATGAGAAATCTTGATTTCAAAAATTGCTTATTTTGAACTTTAACCTTTGATAATTCTTGTTGTTGTTGTTTTCCCAAAAAAAGAAGTGTACCGTTATACTCAGCTCAATCATCTCTATCGATTCCAAGATTTTTTTTTTTAATTTGAGATTTGGAGCCCAACTGCATTTATGCCAGAAATTGCCAAATTCCTCAAAAACAAATGAAAAATCCTCAAAATCCGGACAAATTACTCAAAATTTTCTTATTACAGATATGAGTATTGTGTACTGCATACTATTCACAGGTACTTAGTATAAAAATTAATTACATCCCTAAATTCAATTGGTACACTTGTTCTTGCGGCTCAAACAAAGTATCACCGTTATTTTTTATGCCTTGCTTTGTATGTAATAAGAAAAGGGCTATATTAATAATGCAGATATAATTCGTTTTAATTGGGAATCTGAAAAATCTTTTAATTCCAAAACTTTTTTCCTATAATTTTCTTGATCTAATGAAGAATCAATATGGATATCCTTATGATTGAACAATGCGTGTTCTCCATTCGTTACCAAGATTTTGCAAGTTCAAAGTAAGTTGAAAATACAACGATGGAATGAAAAAAAATATCGATAAAATTTTGAATATTTATCAGCAAATGCAGATCGTCGCCTGGGTAAAAGATTGTCGTAAGCGTCATATGTACATGCGTAACATACGACACTCTTTTACCCAGGCGACGAGATGTGCTTAAGAGCAAAAAACACCACACAAGCGGCTTGATAAACCAAGCGAAATATCCCTTTCCCATGATAACAAATATTTAAAGGTAGTTTCAGTTCTTCTTTTCCACCATTGTTCCCATTTGACGTAAACTGTGCTTTTGACGTTTTCTTTTAAAGTGAAGCTACCATATTCTTTGAAGAAACTAAAAAGTGGTTTTTAACTTCAAAAAAAATTATTTCAAAAATTATTTCAAGGAAGATATTTTGGGCATCACTTACTAGCGAGCCTCAACGGCTTGTCAAACAACAACAACAAAAATCAAAATTTTTTGATTTTCTGCCCGCTCAGAGCGAGAGAGTAACATTGAAAAGTACGGGATCGCTTTCTAGTAAAAAATGGTAACTTCTGTCTGGTTTTAAATTTTTGCTTATTTTGTATGTAAACACACTCAGCTCAAACCTGTAAGTAACCAAAAATACTTTCAAATTAATTAGAATCCACTTAAACAAGTAATTAAATACTTTCGACATGAATTAGCAGAGTGCACTTTTCTTTTGTTTACAATTGGTTGCCAAACACACTACAGCTGATCGTTTGACACATTTACCAGGATTTACCAGCAAAAAAATCTAGGACTAAAACTGGTAACTTCTGACAGAGAAAGAACCGTATTTACTCTCTTTTTTGTCCTCTCAATAGTCAGAGAACCGAGTACGGGATCGATTTCCAAAAGTCCAAAATCTGACTGATTCTGACTAGTCCGGACTCGTACGGGATCGCATCTATTGTGTATGATATATATTATGAACTGGAAGAAAACTAAAATGCCCGTAGAGCATCTATATGCAATTCCCCATCAAAAAGAAAATTTTGAAACAAATGTCATTAAAATAATTTGGCGGAAAAATCAGTACCCAATTGTTGCATGGAAACATCAACTGCTCTTGCAATTATGGAGTGGATCGTCCATTAAAGACAAACAGCGTTTAATATCAAATGCAATTAAAAATGATTTTTTGACAAAATATGCCTATATGTACAGTATCGGTCATATCTATAGCACGCCATTTCAAAGTGATATTGTGTGCAACTTATGTTTATTTATTTATTTTTGAGAATTTTCAATTAAAATACAGTTCTTTCTTTACCAACCCCAATAAACCCAAGTTGAACAATTTGTAGAAAAATCAATGGTAAATTTTAGCCACTTGAAACTTGCACATTATCAGATTAAAATTGAATGGGCTANTTTTTCAAGTGGCTAAAATTTACCATTGATTTTTTTGGAATTTTTTTCGTCGAAGGTGTTGCGGTTTTTTCCATATAAAAATAATCCCTGTTAAAAAATCGACGGTTATTTTTAGCCACTTGAAACTTGCACATTATCAGATTAAAATTGAATGGGCTATAAAACTGAGTACTCAAAAAATTCTAATATTCGGAGAAACAGTTGCAAATTTATGGGAAAATTTGTTGCATTTTTTTGTAGTATTTTACAAAGTTTAAAACTTGGGCTTATATGGGTTTTGTTAGACAATAAGCTGTATTTTAGTTCATAATAATAATAATAATAATAATAATAGATTGGCGCTTACACATATGTTAGTGTTTGGCCGAGCCTCTCCTCCGATCTCACTGCTTACCACTGCACCACAGCGGCATAATTCTTAAAAATTAATAATTAAGGATAAGTGGCAAACCACATCACTTTGAAATGGGGGTACTATAGATATGACCAATACTGTATGTACAAAAAAATTGAAATTTATTCACCTTTTTTACGAATATTTTAAATAATTTAAATTTTTGTAATAAAGCGCAGTAAAAATAGATCAAATTGGTGCGAAGGAAAAAATAATTTGTAGTAGCAATTTTTTAACGGAAGAGTATGGATCCAGTCTCGCCCCTAAATTTCATATAGCAACATTTTGCCATCTTGGATTTTAGGTGTTGTTTGGTTTTTATGCGAGTTTCATGCGAATTTTTGAATTTTTCGTAAAAAATAGTTATATACAAGTTTGTAGAGTATCACATTTTTTATATATTATTAAACATTTTTTACTGTAAATAAATAATTAGCAAACTGTTTATATATTAGGTAAAAAAAAAACATTTTTTACTGTAAATAATAGCAAAAAGTTCGAAACAAATTTACATTGCAACGGTTTTCGCCTTTTTTGAACAATTTCTGTTGAAAATACTTAGCATATTCAAATGATAAAGTTTCATTCTCCACAACTTTTGTAACGGTATTTTCGAAAAATTCAAAAACAAATATGCTGAAATACTTGATCCAAATCGGTGAAAGTTGGAACGTGAAGTAAAATTTTGGCATAAAATAAGACAGTTATGAAATTGTTAGAAAACGGGCGCGGCACCGCCCACTTATGATGAAACGCTGTATCTCTGTAGTCCTTTTACCAGTCCGCACCAGCTCGGTGCGAACATTGCTTAGAGTCTCACTAAGAAACGCGTTGACAATTTTTAAAATTAAGCAAGAATCACACCTCCTCCCATATTTGTAACGGTAATTTACAGAAATGCGAAAACTGTGATAAATTAGTGGGCACCGCCCACTCGGTAAGCGGCTTATCAATTTTTACCAAACTCGGTACAATTATTAAACTTGGCGCAAAAATGCAATTACGCCCACTTACGGTATATTTCAAAAATACGAAAACTCCGGTAATCCAATAATTAAGGACGCCAATTTACTCCAACTTACAACAATGTTATAGATTTTTGGAAAATGGGC